TTTTTCTTTTTTTTTTTTTTTTTTCTAGACAGGATCTTACCAAGTCGCTAATTTCCCTGGGCTGAGCTCAAACTTGGGATCCTCCTGTCTTATCCTCCCATGGTTCCAGGATTGCAGGTACCACAACCGTCTGGAGTTCTACTTTCTTTACCATGAGTGGCTATCAAAGTGTGGCCCAGGGATAAATGCTGGTGCACATGTGACTGTGTTTTTCAAAGGCTTACTCCTTTTTTTTTTTGTTTGTTTTTCAGACAGGGTCTCAGTAATTCACAGCAATCCTCCTGTCTCAGCACTTACTCCATTTTTTAAAGTGCATTTATTTTAACTTTGCATTTTGTATTCATTCTTTGGGGACAAATTTTCTTTTCAAAAGAATTTATAAAGTATGATCAATAGAAAATCATAACTTTAATATATACATTATTTTTAACAGGTAATTTATCATAAATATATCAAAAGCCTAAGTGAAAAATACTTAAACTCAAAGATATGACACTTTAAGGAGGTTTTTACTTTCCTGAGCGGAAGCTTTCTGGGACTTAATGAAAGAGGACTGAAAGTTACCATGATGCCTTAAATTTAAAGGAAAGAATGTCAACATACTCTTCACACATATAAAGATACTTGCTCACATAAGAGTTATGCTAATAATAACAACATCCAGATTCAACTCTACTGGGAGATGATATAAAGCTTTTTAATTCCCTTACTTCAACCTCTTACCCTAAATGCAGGGTTTGCTCCGTGCTCCAGTAAGCATTTTACAGCACCTGCACACAAGTTATATGCTGCGATATGCAGAGCCGTTCCAAAATTAAAGTCACTGCAAGTGGCATCCACATCTGCAATTAAACATGAGAAGTATATTAACTAAGATTTTAAATTTAGCCGTATAATTTAAAAGGAGACAGGAAATTTGTTTATAGAGGAGCATGCTTTTATGAGAGTTAAGTCAACCCACTGAAACTATTTCACAATGGAACAACATTTTTGTACTGCAATCTGGCTAACATAATCAGTTACTTATTTTCCTAGTACAATAAAACTCATTATAGAATGGAGTCGTACTAGTGTGCGTCTCCCGCTATCACAAATTAAACTATATTAAAAGCAATGAATGGCAGCAACTCCTGTCTGTAAAAGTAACTGCCTTCCCGTATGCTCATGGACTCTCTCCTGCATATTCGCAGGACAACCACAGTGAGGCGGGAGGGTTGAGGTCAGGGATCAGCAAACCCAGCATCTGTTTGTATAAGGAGCACGTGCACACACACTCGCTGACACATTCCCTACAACTACTTTCACGATGCCACTGCGGAACAGAGTTGTCAAGACAGGGACCAATGTAGTCTGAAAAGTCTAAAATATTTAGTTACTATCTAGCCCTTTACAGAAAAAGACTTCCAAACCCCCTACCAAGAAAACAATGCCAAATTCCCAAACCAATTACAGACTAAATATATAATAATACTCTATTCAACAAATGAATCTGAACTTCATACTATGAAAAGGATCTCACATTTCTAAGGAGAGTCTAAACTTTCATTAAGTCATCATGTTAAACATAAGAAGTCCTCCAGACTTGGTAATCCCATTTTGAATTCTTCTATAACAAGAATCGAATACACCTCCAACCCTGGAAATCTTACCTTAATCTACAACTACCCCTGGGTAGCACCTCAGGCAGGATCAAGACAAACTCTCTTGAATTACCAGACATGCTACCATCAACAGAGGCTTTCTTCCCATCATTCACAAGTGAAAAAGTAGCATTTTAAAGAGAAAATGGATAATTATATGAATCAGAGCTTGGAAAATAGCATTCTGGGAAGTTTACTGACTCTCTAAAACATATCTTTTACCAGGAGGACAAAACCATACAGTCTCTTTAACTTAAAGGATGATGCTCTTTATTGGCTCCCTTGTTTCTCAGAAGAAAACTGACACCCAAGAAGAGAACCAGACAGAAAGTTAAATACCAGGTCAGGGATTTAAACATTCTAGTTTTCAGTTTGAATATCACCATCAAGACAGAGGGGAGGGAGACCCCCAGAAATTTTATCTGTTAAGTTGAATCACAGAAATTCAGGAATCAATGCTATCTAAAAGAAATATCCTTTTATTATTTAAATGCCTATTTCTGAAGGTTTGACTGTCCTATTCCTGGCTACTCAAACATGTCAAAAGAATTATAGAGCAGATAGAATCAATTAGACATAAAATCTAAGTTACAGGGGAGAATCAATTAGACATAAAATCTATGTTATACTGGAGAATTAGCTTCAAAAAGAAAACCCAGGAACACTTTTTTTGGTATCTCTTTGTGATAAGCTTTGCGTGAAAGAATAGCAATTAATCTTCAATGAAGAAATTCTAAACCATCTCAGAAATAAAGTGGGTGAGAAAGTTCCAGAAACAAGATGCATGAATGAAGAAAAATCTCCTTGAACATAATTTTTATGCTACAACTAATGTGTAATTAATAATAGCTATGGTAATCTGATAGCACTTGCCTTTTGGTTTTGATGTCTTCAAAATCACGCTTATGACTTCCGGGACATCAAAATAAGCAGCATAATGCAGAGCGTTCATATTTGTCCAGCGACTCCGCAAGCTAACGTCTGCTCCCAGATCAATAAGCTGAGATGCAAATTTCACAGCTGTCTCAACATCACCTACAGAACATTTTCTAAATTATTTTTCTTTAGTGCAAATTTCAAGTACCAAAGGGTGGTTATCTACTATTTCATTTAAAAAGCTAAAGCAAACGGCATACTGAATATACAGTTATATGTCAAAAATGTCACTTTTGGGAATTTATTCTAAGGAAATAATCATATTCTCAGGGATATGAATAAACATTTGTAAAGTGTCTGTAAAGATGTGTCTAACTGCACTGTTTATTGTGAATAAAATTCTGAACCCTAAAAGTGCAATAATAAAAACTGGTTAAATCAATTGAAATATCCACATTTTGGAATATTCTACTATGAGCCATTAAAAACAAGGTGCTAGATCAGGGCTATTCAATGTTCTGTGAATGCTGTCAATCACACTGCAATCTGTCTGCCCTTTTTTTTTTTTTTTTTTGGTGCCAGGGATTGAACTCCAGTCCTTGAGCTTGCAAGGCAGGCAGTGGCACCACTGAGCTAAATCCCCAGCCCTGTCTATACTTTTTATAACTCTTTTTTTCCCTCTCTTTAATATTCCTTCCAATCTAGTGAAATGTAACTTTATGCCTTTTAAAAAATATTTGGGCTTATGTTTTTCTTTATTTCAGTTTTATATTATAAATTCATTTTGTTTTATCTTACAAAAGCATCGGTCCATGTTGGATTGTAATGGGGAGAAAGAAGTCCTTCACCACCAAAAAGAGTTCTAGAAGCTCTGTATCAGACTATTAAAACAGGAGGACACAATCACAAAACATGTTTAGGTAAGAGAGGAAGATTTATAAAATGGTAAAGCACAAGACAATTCCAGTTTTAGAAAATATAGACATAAGTATTACAAGTATAGCGTTCACCTAAGCCTAAAGCCTGGAATCCATGGGGATTACTGTGCCTGGAAAACTGACCATAGATTGACCTTGCCGTAAGCCCTCAGGAAGATTCTAGGGCAGTGATGGCAAATCTTTTAGAGCTTTCAACGATAACAAACAGCCAGCTGCAGCGTGTGCCACAGCTTCACCATCATTGTTCTGGGTATTACCTGTTGCTTCACCCAAAACAGTGGGAGTTTAGGGTTGAAAAAGTGACAGGAACTGGTAAGATGTAAAGACTTCCGCCGGGGATTTAACTCAGTGGTTCTGCTGCCTGCCTCACAAGCACAAGGACCAGAGTTCAATCCCCAGTACAAAAAGAAAGAAAAAAAAAGAATTCCCTGAGAATAGAGAACCAGATCTTGAAGGACCTAACTACTCCAGCTATACTGTCAGCGAAATGCCCTCCAGAGTCTCTGCCATACCCTGGGACGATTTAAGCACAAAAGCAAGTGATCCAAGCAAGCAAGAGGTTGCCACATACTTACCAATACCGTGAGCTCCAGACTTGCAAGTATAATGCAAGAGAGTCATATCTGTCAGTCCATCTCTGTCATTCACATTGCAACCTCTTTTAAGAATCTAAGAAAACCAAGGAAAATATGATTACAACACCACTACTGAAGTACCAATTACTTTCAAACCACTGGAGAAGAGCCAAGTTCATCTACCTTATCTGAATTATACTCAACACTGCACCCAACAATTATGGAAATTGAACTTGTCAGACAGGAGGAACTTCTTAAAAGATTACTCCAAGGCAATCTGTTACTCTCAAATATGTTCCTCTCAAAAGTGAGCTAAAAATTTTCCCCAGTGGGTATAATGACATTTGAAAAAAGTGTAAATGCTCTCTTCCCACAATGTGATATATTGGTCAAGAAATCCTGCCTCAAAAATCAAATATTGCTTAAAAATTGTATTTAAACCTAGACCATTATCAAACCTCCCAGAAATATAGAAAAAATGTGATGGGAATCAAATTCCTTCATGTTTGAAAGTTTGTAAAATTAATTTGTACAAGGAAAGATGTGGTATATACAAAGAAAATCCCTCCCTGCTCCCACCAAAAACCCAGAGGGGGAAAAAAAAAAAGACCAAAAAAGCACCTGTGAATACAAAAAGCAGAAACTTCCTTTGAATGGCTTTGCTTTTATTATTTTTCCATTCAGATGGGGAGGAGGAAGTCCACACCATTAGCAATGCTAAGAATGAAAAACTTAAAATGTAAGAACTTTTTTTTTTTACCTCATTTCCAATAATGTCAATGTTTTGTTGGACCTGAGGAACCCACTGTCTTAAGATGGCAAATAATTCTGAAACTGAAGTTTTGGGATCAAAGAGAATTTCTTGGCATGATGCATCATTAGGATCAAAGAAAGAAAACTCTGTTTGAAATAAAAAATGTAAATTAAATTTACTGAAAGTTTCAAATAAATATATTGAAAATAAGACCAAACTTCAAATAATAACAATGTTTTAAGATGCTAGAAAAAGCCAGTTTACCTTAAGCAAAATCTCAAAATCAATATCAGGACCACTAAAAATGAGGCATATCTGAGTTGTGGTAATGAGATTTCCACGTATCATGTTACACTTTATTTTAGAGGAAACTAAATGTGAGTGTACAGACCTCAATCTCTGACACTGCCAAGTAGTATTATCTTCAAGGCACAGAAAGTCTGTCAAATTTTATCAGTATTCTTTTCTCTCAAAACACATAGAGGAGGTAGGGATGGGAGGGGAAGGAAAGGAAGAAAGGAATTAAGATGTGTTGTGCACATGTACCAACTTCCACAAGGGATGCAATCATTATGTACCACAAACATTTACTAAAAAAGAAAATGACCTAAAAAGATAAAAATTAAAAACACAAATGTGATGGATAATAAATTTACATCTATGATTAAAATATAATTTTAAAATATGCCAAGTATTAAGTGTAGTAAAAAAATATGTAACTCAAAGTGTTTTTACTTTTCTGTACTCCCCTAATTTTCTATAATAAACAAGCATCACCTTTTACCCGCTGAAGAAGCAGGAAACATAATCCGCTTCAGCCCAAAAAGGATGTGGGCTGGGGATTTAGCTCAGTGGTTCTGCTGCCTGCCCTGCAAGCACAAGGTCCCAAATTCAATCCCCAGTACCAAAAAAAAAAAAAAAAAAACCCAAAAGGAGACAATGTTTGGCAATGTACAAATGAAAGATACCTTGGGACAAAGGTTTTGGAAGCTGCAATAGTAAAATCACAGAATACTAGACAAAGTTAAACATTTGATCTAAACAGTTCTCTAAAACAATTTTCCTGAGGTTTAGAGAAAAGACAGCTATGGTCCTGTAACTAGAGAATCAAAGAGAATGGCTCATGAAAGAAATAAAAATTTCAAGAGAACAAAATTAGATTCTGAAATGAGGCATTAAATAGCTAATCATCTTAAGTTATTTTTCTTGTTGAAAACCTGCCTCAGTCATAAATGGCAGAGACTATAAAAAGCAGAAAGCAGTAACTAAAAAAGAGAGGCACTAGAGAACTAACATTTGCTGAGCATATACAATTTGACAAACTCCTTCCAAATCCCCACGAACATCTTACCTGCCAGGTCTTGCGATCCTTATTTTGCATAAGAGGGAATCGAAGCTTGTCCTAAATAACACTAGCTCAAGGTCACACCACTAGGAAGGGGCAAATGTGGGGAGGAAACCAGGTGTCTCTACAGCCTGTTCCATCCTCTATTTCGCTGCTACACTGGGATAACTCACTGTCAAGTTCAGATTGTAACAGCATAAACAAGTGGTGTACTTTGGGTTTTGGCTTTTTTGGTTTTTTTTTTTTTAATTTTCTTCTGTGTACTTTTATATATCTTCCAAAACCATACTAAATACAAATCGTTCTTACTTTTTACAGTTGGGATAACTAAAAGATGAAGAAAAGAGGCACAAAACCTCTAAAAGTAGAGCAGCTGCCCATTAGAAAAGAATCAGCTCCCCAAACGCATTAAGCAACTTTTGCTGAAGATTCTCAACTATTCCCTCTACTTTGTTCAAAACAGGAAGACGGGAAACATGATTCCCTGTGTTTCAGAATAGCTGTTGAAAAAAGGGCGTCTCACCATTAAGCCTTCTTAAGATGGGTTCTACCTGGTACAAAATTCATATGGACCAAGATCTTGTGCCTTTTTGGAAAAATGTACAAACCTTACAAAGGATGCCTTAGAATTACAATAACCACTTCAGGAAATTGTTAACTTAGATAAGATAGTTCACCTTAGCCCTTGAAAAGAAAGGATCCTGAACTTCCCAAAGACAACAGAATGAGGGCTGGGATTTAATTCAGTGGCTCTACCACCTGCCTTGTAAGTGTAAGGTCCCAATTTCGATCCCCAGTACCAAAAAAAAAAAAAAAAAAAAAAAAAAAAAAAAAAAAAAAAAAAAAAAGAAAGAAAAAGAAAAAGAAGCGACGGCACCAAAGACAATAGAATGTATTTGATGATTATAGGCAGAAGCTTCTACTATCAAAATGCCTCAAAAATAGCTTCTGTAAAATAATGCTTACAGCATGCAAATGAAAACTCTTTGGTACAAAGTTCTGGCCATCTGGGTAGAAAATTCTGATAATCCTGATTTGTTTCATCTACCTGAGGCACAATGTAAATCCAGCTTTTTTTGTAAAGTAGGAAGTTCTACATTATTATATCTGACACATCGCTAGCCTTCTGAAATGAAGCTAAAAATGTGTATGTTTATGTGTATTTATACATGTTAGACATAAGTAAAAACAAGTACTTATGTAAATTAAGTGTTTCTTAAACTCTCAGAAAAATAGAAACACAAAATGCTTTTCAGAATCACATTACTTCAGGAAATAAAAATACTACTGGTTTACCTTTAAAAAAAAAAGAAAAGAAATGCCATCATAGATTTCAGCATTAAATATAACACAGAAATACAATTTTCATTCTACCTAGGTCTACTACTCAAATAAGACCATGTTATGAAACAAGTCAATTACAAATAAATTCATGCTATCTCAATATTACACAATTTCTCAGCAAGAAAAATAAGTTGATGGTTAGCTAATGTCTCCTGAAATTTTCAAGTAAAACTGTTAACAAATGAATTCAATTAATGTAAGTCCATATAAGATAAACATTAATTACTGAACACAAGTATATCTACTTTTGGACAAAAGAATTAAAGATATCTGGGGTTAGCAAACATGTCCTATGGCTGAAAAACTGTACCATGAGGAAACATATGCTTCTAGAAATTATAAAATGGTGTATTCAGATTTGCCACCCTACAAAATGCTAGCATGATAGTTTTTTTAAAAAAGGATTAAGTATGAAGATGTAGTTTTTGTTTAAAAAAAAAAGGAAAATGAAGAACCAAAGTAAATAGTTACAGAAAGGTGGGAAAAATCTTACATGGCCAAGTTGGTTTAAAAAAAAATCGATGAATTTATTAACATTAAGTTCAAAATGATGCTAAACTAGAATCTGAGCTCCTCTGTTAAAATAGCAAAATTTTCTTAGATCACTGATTTGTTCTTGATGGAAAAGTGTGAAAGGTTTTTATTTAACTTTTGAGTGGTTCTCCTAGGAAACAAAAATTCGCGGCCTGTCAAGGTAATTTCCTGTGATTCATTGTCTTCACCAGATCTTTGATCAGACAAGCTTTCAAGTAAAAGAGCCAAGATTTTTTTTTTTTTTTTTTTTGGTGTTTTCTTGTAACTTTCTGCAATTGCCTTTGAGATCTTTGTCACTTTGATTAAAGGATATTTGTGATGCTAATCTAGTGTTTTGAGTTTTGACAATTTAAACAGATGAATCAGGAAAAAAGCTGGTATTCGATTTAGAGAAACACCACATACAGGTTTTTTAACACAGACTCAGGTATGTTTCTTATCAAAAGCTGTTACAAAGCCAGGCGGGGTGACGCTCGCCTGTAATCCCAGCACTCGGGAGGCTGAGGCAAGAGGACTGCTGGGAGGTCGAGACCAGACTGGACTACATAGTGAATTCCGGGTCAGTCTCAACTACATAGTGAGATCCTGTCTCAAAAAAAAAAGCTGTTACAGGATTTTCTTTTGGCCTAATTCATTCAGCTAGTTACTATTTAATTATGAAAAGTCAATAAATATTTCATATTTATAAATTTCTAAAAGATTCTTTTGCATATATCCACAAAGAGTCATCTACAAAAAGTTCTTAGTTTAACACTAATTACAGTAGGGGGAAAATTGGTAAACTGAGATGAGTCTTCAGAGGACCAGCCAGGAATATATATGCTTATTTACATTAAATACCTAAGTCACAGATTGATGAAGACAGGTCTCAAAAACATACTGGTACATAAAGTTTCAGAACGATATGCGCACATCTATTATTTATACAAAACAGTAAAAACACAAAACACTACTTCACACTGTTTCCAAACCTTCACATATGTAGTATAACGTAACAATATCTGGGATATACACATTTTAGAAAGGAAGTGCCTCTGGGGAGCAAGGGGCATTATATCAGAAAGGAAAACAGAGGAATTTTCAACTTTATATTTAAGGTTTTATTTGAATTTTTTTAAGGCATCTTTTTTTTTGTTTGTTTAGGTATCAGGGATCAAACACAGGTCCTTGTGTTTTCGAGGCAGGTGGCAGAACCACTGAGCTAAATCCCTGTCCCTATTTGAATTTTTTGAAAAAGCTAAATATGACAAAATGTTGTATTTATTTGTTTCAGTGATAGATGTGTGACATGTTTATTATCACTGTGTTTTCTACATTTTAATTTTTTTTCCATTTTAAAGAAGGAAATAGAACAGGAGAAAAGATCCCATACAGAATAATAAAAATAAATGTACTAACCAATGTGCGATGCTTACTTAAAGAAAATTAAAGAGGAAGTGAGGGCTCTTAAATGGAAGGAGAAACCACATTCCTGTACTGGAAGATAAATTATTTAAAGCCATCAATTCTCTCAAGAATAGATTTCAGGTATTCAATTCTAATCGGCACTTCACTGGGACTTATTTGAGGAATCAGAGAACAGATTCTTTTTCCTTTGCGCCAGAGCTTCTCAAACATGAACATAGACAGGAAACATCTAGAGATCTGTGACAAGATACCCTGAGCCTGTGCATCTCTGGAGGAGCCTGAGCCTGCATTTCTAACAAGCTTCCATGGTGCCAATGGGGCTGGACCAAGAATCACACTGGAGTAGCAAAGATCTAAAAAGTAAATGTAAGAAAAGTAAACAACACTTGATCAATAATAACAATGGGTGGGGGCTGTGGGAAGTAGCTTAAAAATACTAAAGTATATAATATTTTGAAATTAAATATATCCAAATAAAAAAACAGCAGACAGCTTATTTAAATAACTTATGCATAG